CTATGATAGAAATGATAAAAAAAAAAACAAAGTAAAAATTCTTTTAAAAAATGGCTTAAGAAAGTTTCTTAACGAATTAATATTATGTAAAATCTCAAGTGACGTTTACTTAATTAGAAGTTAAGAACTACAATGCAAATGTCTACATCTAGAATGGTAGCCTAAAAAAGAATGGGGGGAATGGAGCAGTTCCTGATTCAAAATCTAAAGACTGCCAGACACGTAAAGCTGAAATTAATCTTATTCGTTATTTTACGGAAGCTCTTTTTAAAGCTTTAGAATACTCTTTATTATTCTGGGTGCGAATATTCAGAATATTTCTACAAGTAATTTAATAAACATAAGTGACAAGTTTCCATGTCTTTTAGGTATATTGTGTTTCTCATTAAAAGGAATTCATATGTACAGTGTTGGCAGATAGTGAGTTTTCCTGTGGAAAATTTCTCGGAGAGTAATAACGAGTTCTTGGGAAGATATTGATCGACCCGTTAACACATGGCTCCATCGTCTATATACTTTTTTTTCTATTTTTTTAATTTTTTTATATGTCTCTAATGGACTCCAAATATTTTCACAACATCGTAAACGTTTTATTACAGACAATCAAATCAATTTAATTATAAAATAAAATTCTCCATCAAAGGCAATTTTATTAAACGTTTTTGTTAAAAATAGTCAATCTAATTACTAAACTAAAATGATAGAATAAAATTAATAAAAAAAAAACTCAATCCAATATCAACTTTGTTCAACATGAACAAGAATAAGTCTTGAGATTCAAAAGTTTCATTTAACAAAAAACTATTCACATCAAGAACTTATTCTTTTTCAATAAATATAAATTAAATTTTTATAATAAAAAATAAAAGTAACTTGAAGAAAAAAATTTGCAAATAAATTGAATTAACATTGAGTGAATTGAGAAATAAAGATAAAAATGATATTTCTTGTTCGAATGATGGAGTTTAAACATTCATAAAAATGTGAATGAATGAATGGAATTCTTTGCAGAAAAATTCTTAACTCTAAAGCAAAACAGTCATTTCTTCCATTGTATAACAAATTATCACAGACATTTTCATTTTCTATTGCACGAAAGACGTACTTGATAATTGGAGTGGTAAATAGAGTTGAAGTTCGCACAATTTGCCTTGTCTAACGGAGTTCTCTAATGATCGTTTGTGTTTTACATACGTACGAGGCCGATCTTCGGTCTGATTCGCTATGGTAATTTACTACTTACACCCCGTTATAGTGAGAATATATTACTGTAACAATTGTTATTACTTATTTTTATTATTTCAATATAATTTTTACTACTATATATTATTCTTATTATTGTATCCATAATTTCAATAGGTACAAGTCATTTCAAATAAACATGTTTCTCTTCCGTTTCCTCAATTTCCAGTTTCAGTTCCTTAAAGAATATTAAAGAAAATCAATGAAGTATAAGATATCTATAATTCTTTTTACTGTCCCACATTTAAGAAGAATTGCGCAAAACTTTTACTTAAGAAAATCTCCTCGTAAAATATATCCTTTTTTAATTCTTCTTTCTTCACTCGAATAGTCTAACTCTTTTTATATTATGACCATCTTTCATCTTATTCCAAGAAAACTTCCAAAGAGATAGACAGGTATGGAAGAAAGAGAAAGAAATAAATGATGTGCAACAACCAGGAGACCATTTCCTGCGTTCTATTTTCATAACGGATGGACTGACATTTTATTTCTACTGTTTCCTCTTAAAAAGTCTCAAAAATTATTAACTAATTTACTTCTTGTTGAGTCGGGTAATAAATAACATCCTCCTACTGAAGAAAAAGAAAAATAAATATATATTATAGAAACAACTAACCTAGTGTTTTATTAACCGGTGCAATTTCATTCTCTATGATTCCATCTTCGGTTGAATGACATCAACAGATTACGAAACAAGTTTCGACGAAAACAAACTCATTACCAAAACTGTCTAAAAAAAATTATACAAGGTTTTTTTTTTTGCTTGAGATGGATTTGAAATAATTTAATAGAATCAATTGTTTCTTTAATAAATTCCTAGAAACCGTAAACGAATTTCGTGAAACATAAAATCAACTTCACGGACGATTTCACACTCCATTACAGTAATTTATGTATTTAGATGAAATGAAGTAATACTGAAAAATATTATCTCCTAATAAAAAGAGATATAATATTCAAAAGAAAAAGAATAATATTGCGGAAAAATCAATAAACATTAACATTAAACAACAAAAGTCCTCATAGAAAGTCTATAATTTACCTATAAATTGCTAAAGCTTGGGCAATAAATTCAATCAATGTTTATTACTTCTGCGCACCCATCGATAACGCTCCCAAGGCCACAAAGTTCCTCTAAAAAGGTCGTAGGGTATAAAGTACAGTCACAGAAATGCATACATACATGAAAGTAACAACAACAAAAGACCTTCAAAAGTAGTACGTGATTGCTCTCCATGTTTACCAGTAAAATACGCGAGCATTACGTTTATTACTCCCGGGCTTTCTCTCCATCTTGATCAGGGAGTTGAACGGTTCGACCTCGACCAAACACGGACATAAAACGCTTGTCATTCTACTTATTAAAGTGGCAAGTTGAATAAAAAAAAAGTGCTACGATCTTCGTAATCTAATTATTTTCATTTCCATTTAATTATATCATCGGTCACCATAAAAATTCATTGAATTACCTGGATCACAGCTATTAATACTCAAGAATTATGTTATAATTCCATCTATGCAATTTACTGCACAGGATTGGTTCACTATTTTTCACTTTCCACACACCAGCTAATAAAAAACGATATTTATATGTATCCTTGTCTGTTCTGAGGATTCAGCGGCTCGTTAGTGCAGTCAAAGCGCAAGCGTAATTGCTTCAGTAAACTCAAGAAAACAATTGGTCTAGGAGCACATTGATCTTGAAGAAGGATCGATCAATCGATCGTGACGCGAACTTCACAATATAGACTGTTTTAATATGTACACCCACTCTCTCGTATTCACTGCAAGTCACCCTGCAGTACACACGTGCAACCGCCGGAAATAATGAAGGCAACGGCTTGGGATCCTGTTGCAGACGGTGGTAAATGAAATGCACACGCGACGCGACCGAGTGTCTTCCTGACACGCACTGGGAATTAGCAAAAACTCCAATTTATTCAACAATATAACAAACTGTACTTATGTTTTATCAAACAGCACCAAATTGGTATTACAATCAGTAAAATAGAACTTATTTTTTTCAAACAAAAGGTCAACACCTGTGCCCTTGGACGCTGAAGAGATAAGATTTTACACAATATCATTTAGGATTAATTCCATTCACGTGCTTAGTAAAATGCTGAAGGTAACTCTCGAGTGATCCTGAGTACCAGCAGCACCAACTGACCTTGGTGAGTCGGAGGTCAGGGTCGGACGCAAAGATTCTCACCACACGCGATAACCCATACGCAATAGGCTTTGTTTTGGAGTCGATAAGGGTAGGAGTATAATTTTTTTTTGATGAGTAATTAATGAGATAATGATTATGATCGATCAATACATAAGTATGAACTCGTGGCAACACGCGCACAAACGATAAAGTTATAGCGTTTACAAGTAAGAAAGGTTTTCAAGCGACTACGAGTTGGTCGGAGCTAAGCGTGGCGCGGGTCTTTCTCCCCTGACGATGCATCGCCATCAGTCTAAATGGAGAGGGAAACGCGAAACGAAACCTAGCAGAAGGTAAAGGAGGGAAACCGCCAAGTGACGCGGCGAGGAGGAAGAGGAGACTTTGCCGAAGGAAGTAGAGGGGAACAGATGAACGATCGCAAAATGGTTTGTCTTTTAGACGATCAAAGAGCTACTGACATTGGGGATTAGGTTCTGAATTAGAGGATAAAAATTGCCAGATGATTAGACTCCTAGAAAAATAGTTGAGATCACGTGTACTTTGAAAGTTCTCGAGTAGTCTCGGTCTCTGCCCTCAACATGCAACAGGTGGTACTCAGGCAAGCTATGTTCTACCTCAGGTTCATCGAGTAGCTATAGCGGAAACGCCTGGGGCCATGTGATGGAGGGTTGACTCAATTGGATGGTAAGAAAAAAGCAACGGGTTATTTTTGGTAGCAAAAAGGCGAAATAAAGGTAAAACTGTTGAATTGCTTACCTTTTTCGAATGTCCTACATTTTTGGGATGACGTAATGTGATGTCAAATAATACCTAACGATGTCATACTATCTACCTTAAAAGTATCGAATAAATTTTTGTTATTCTTTCGTTTTCTTTATATTTATATATTCAATCAATATTGGATATGTATTCACAAATACAAATGTTTACCAATTACTACTAATAACGCTCATATCAAAAAAGATAACAAGTTTTCTAGAAAAAATAATAAAACAATCTACAGTACGTGCGTGTTAGCATGTAATAATAGTACAAATTTTATCAAAATCTAATTAAAAAAATAAATTCGATAGATAACTAGGCTAATTTTTGTGAATAAAAATATTAATTAGCATTTGAGGAGGGTTCTAATGGCTTGATATCTTATTAGCGATTCTTTAAATACACACTCACACTTTATACTTTTCCGCTATACTATTTTATACTCATGAATTATATTAGAATATTATATAAATATTAAGAATTATGTGGAATCAACGGACGTTCTTTGAATTTTAATTTTAAAGATTAATTTTTTATACTGTCGCATAGTATTATCTATTGTACGAATATTCAGTTCCGTTGAAAATTGAAATCTACACTCTTAATAATTAGATTAAAAAAAAAAAAAAAATTAATTATGAAATATTGCTCCCGTTAAATGCATATAAAATAGAAATAAATGAATGAATGAACCGTTTGTTTAACAAGACAATACTTAATGACAGTTATTACGAGAAAAAAAATATAAAAAAGAGGAAAGTATCTTTACCGTGAATATCAATTATTATTGTAGGTCAGTGAAAGTAGAAGTCAATTATTGTACTATGATTTGAGTTTTATTAAACAAATTAAATACAAAAGATTTTATGATTGTTTTTTTTTCTTCATCAAAAGTTACTGTTGTCAATGTAGTCTTAGTCACATGATCGTGTTATAAATAATTAAACCAACAGACTTTAATTTATAAATTAAATAAAAACGTGTAGAAGAAAATAATAAACTGTCTCTATATATAAATATCCTCCAAAGAAGATTAACATATTTTCTGGTTTGTAACTACGGATTTTCTTTTATGTTATCGACAAGTTTTTTTTCTTTTTCTAAAGGAACATTATATCACCATTGACTGCCTGTGTATTTTCTTAATTTGTTATTCAATCAACCATGAACATTTAAATTGTTTTGTTCCTTAAGTTTATAGTTAAATCATGGTTGCAATTTTTATTCTATTGCATATTTAGTTTATTTAAATAAATTTCGAATTTTCAAAAGAACCCTTTTACGTATACGTTAGAAATATTTTAATCTAACAAATGATTATTAATTATTAATTATTATTCATTATCAATTATTAAATATTTATAAGACATAAAGGATTGTACATTTTGGCATAATTTTTAAGTAGAAAATACATTTCGTATGTAAATCGCAAAGGGTTACTTTAATTCGAAAGCCCAATAAATTTCCATTAAATGCATTTGGAATGAAAAATTGGCGGTACGTGCTTTCCGCATTAAACAAAATATTATAAACATTCAAAACTTGTACAATATTGTGTCACATGACAAATGACTCTGAGTTTATGACAATAAAGAAATTTCATTTTACGAAAGTGGATTTTTTTAAAAGGTTGAGTAATATTTTTATAACATATTAAGGATATGTACAAAGAGATATATATGTATATTTGTTTGTAATATGCATCAATACTGTTCCCAAGTTATCAAACTCTACATTGATAGATTGATTCCTTAGGATCTTTCATATATTATAGGCATACCGACTAGCCGAACAGTGTCCTTTAATGTCGAAATTTCTAATTGAAATTTTTGACATTCAAGTGCACTGTTTTATGAGCATTTATTAGCATGTTATTTCAATTATTTATTTATTTATTTATATAGTTAACTAATATTCCTTTAAATTTACTTAATTCGTATTTATTTCTTTTGTTGATTTTCATCATAATTCGAGGACACCATTGACACGTGCTCCACCTCTAATTATTTTTCATTCATTAACGCATATAATTCCTCAAAAATTAGGTCCGTTACTCAAAAAATATTAACAAAACTAATGTCACAATTTTTATTAATATTAAATTTTTTTTTTAAATAATTTTTTTTAGTTTATCTACTTGAAAATAAATTATATGAAGTCTTGTCCGCATTTCGCAGCATGCAACTAGTTAATCTTCGTTTAAATAAATCCTTTGATCCGGGAAATAAAAATTCTTAGCCATAAGTTGCGGCTTTTTGCGCTTTCGTAGCTCTTAATATCTCTTTTGCGCTTTTTATGATAACTTATAACTACTTGCTAAACTATTTACACCAACTTATATACTAAGGAGCTTACAAATCTAGCTTAAAATTAATATAATACAAACACCGTTACGTGCACGGCGATACAGGATATTTAACATCTTTGGGTTCAATTTATTACACATTTATATAGATTATTTTTATATTCCTTACTCATAATTGAGTGTCGTTTGTTCTTTGATTATCAAATCAAAGATTTTATTTGTTCGTCATTTAATGATTCAAAAGAATAAATCATTTTATTTTTGCTATTAATTTGAATAACTATTTTCTTTGTATTTTTCTCTTTCTTGATCTTTGTTGTAGTCTAGCTTAATATCAATAGAGTGCATGAGTTAGTAAGGAAGTATATAAATTAATGTGGTTCATGTCGACAATTAGGGAAGCACTACATGCACATTCTTAAAAGACTTTTTTTCTTCACAATTTGTCGCAATTATCTTCTATATATATTCAAATTGCGCTCGCTTTTATTGGAAGAGACGTTGATCGATTCATTCATGATCCAAGAGACGAATCAAAGAAAACTGATGAGTAAAATAAAGGACGGCCGGGGATTTTCCTCTTCGATGATGTGTAGATTTATTTACACTGCAGATACTTGAGCTTCATCGTCATCTAGAAAGAAAAACAATTAATTAATTCAACTGTATTATTAAATGAAATAGCTAGCCTGGAGCAAAAGTAATCTGAAACATTTTTTAATATCCTCGTATATTAAAATATATCTTTTAATATTTTTCGCAGTATAGAACATTCCACAATTAATGAAGTTTTTTTTATTAAAAGTAGTTCTATAATTAAAGATTACCCAAACTCTAGGCTAACTATATTAAATAAATTTAAAAAATTTCATAGCAGGCAATAAATAAAATGATGCAATACTATCAGGTGTCTTTTAGTTCAAATGTCAAATGGTCGAAGAGCTAATTGTATTTACTGTAAACAGGCAAATTCAAGCTAAAATAATCATACTGGATTGATACAAATAACTCTATTTAATTAATTACAGGTCAGAGGTATTTAATGAATATGTTTATCAAGAGAAATTAACCTGTATAATTCTTCTATCTGTATAATAGAAGAATTTGAGTAAATAGTTTTTGTATTTTTGTTAAATATACTCTACTAGGTCAAAACTCTATCATTCATTGTAATTTATGGTAAAAATACTTAATTAAGCCAACTACTAGTGATACAAATTTATTTCAACAATAATTATTCTATTATTTAAATGACGAAAAAATTATAGAATGACTTTCATTGGAAAGATGATTTTTTACTTAAGATTTTCTTTAAATACTCATTATGTACAGTAAAATTAAAAAGGTAGTTTCTAACTAATTAAAATAGACTATTTATATTGATAATATGTCTAAAAAAAAGTGTATAGTTTTGCATCAACCCAATAATTGAAAATAAATAAATAAAAGAACTGATAGTAAATAATAATATTAATGAGCAATTTATAAAATAATTACCATGAATGTCTTGAATTTAAAAAAGTGCCATTTTTTTTCTTTAAAAATGTTATATTACAGGTGTGTAATGTGCAAGCAAGAAAACAAAAGAGTGCAAGAGTGCTTATTGTGAGGTAGAGTAGTTTTGCAAGCATTAAGTGCATCAAATATTATCAATGATAATGCATGAACATGAATGATATTAATTAGATACACAATATACATTAATATTATTTTACACTAATATTAATATTCACAACTGTCATAATCTTTAATGACAATGTACGATTGGAAATAAATAAAAACAGGTAAACAGATTAGTTAAAAAACAGAAGGATGTTAAATCTCAATAATCCCTGAGGAATAATAATAGTTGAAAAGTGATTAACTTAATAAAGAAATAGCGGGAATAAAGATAGTTTACACTTCGATGGCCATCACCTAACGGATGTTCTAGAATATTCTAGAATAGCTATCATAAAAATTTGTTACCGGAGCATTAGCACGCGAAATTGACATGGATCTAACTATATAATATGAGTATGGAGTGTGGAGTAAAGTATAAAGTGTGCATGTAGCGTTATTGCAGTACCATCTTCGTGATTGGTGCGGTAAGTAACTCCTTCGTGGCTGTGGGCACGACCTAGCCTGTGTAATCTTGCCATTTGAGCAGCAACTTTGTACGCTGGGGGTTGACGACAAGGAGCAGGACCGACCCCAGGCCGCATCAAGCTCATATTCATCGTCGTCATCGAGTTATTCATCAAATAAGATCCTCCACTTTGATGTAGAGGTCCTGGAAGTCCTATGCCAAGTCCAATGCTCGCTCCACCAGGACCTGAAAACCCTCTACCTTCTTGTTCTCGCTCTTCCAATTATTTTCCCACCCCAGCGCAAGCTAAACACGACTACGTCGACGATCGAACGTTGTCTTATCACCCAGAAACTAAATCGATCATCGACGAGACTGAACCCTCATTAATTTTAGCGTCAGGCCATGAAAAAAACACCACAAACTCGGCAAGTGAATATTGGATTTTTTCCCCAAGAATAGTAAAACCAGAGAAAGGGTTTGATTTTCAATTTAATTGAATTAGTTATCCTAGAGAAGCGTTCGTTAATTAGAAATTTAGTAAAAGATTAAAAGAAAAATTCCACTCATAATTAAGAAAAAAAATTGAGTTTTCAGCCAAAAGGCATAGCCAGTCAAATAACAAAGCCACATATAATTTACGTGATTATTACAATGCTGACACTAGCTCTTCAGCCAAGCGCTTAAAGTCATAAAAAATATATTGAGCTAAATTCGGAGCATAAATTTGACGCGAACAGGTATGCAATTGAAATGATGCATCGATCCATGACAGGAGGCATGCAGGTAACGGACACTCACCTTGAGGGAGTTGGGGATCTTGGTTGTGATGTTGATGATGATGAAGATGATTATGGTTGACAGGAAGCGGAGGTAACACAGCTACTGCATGAGGAAATGGAGGTAATCCACCCCTTACTGAGCCTGCACCACATATATAATAACGAGGACTTGTTTTGTAGGCTTTACAAACAATATCACCACAATTGACATTGACAGAGAAATAAAATAACATGGATTTATGATACAAAAAGCAGTTAATTCGTTGAGTTAACCACACCAAAGTCCCTTAGAAGCATGAGAATGGTAGATGAAAGAAGCTTTTGCTTTTGAATGGAATAAATAATGTAAGAGATATTGCCATGGGACATACGACGTTTCGTAAACATGAGGAGGAAAGTATTCAGCAATCCTCTTTTTACCACACAAATATTTACTCAGTAAGCTTTATTTTGTTGCTCATCTAATAGTCCAGTCAATCTGGTATTGAATTTCCAAAATAAGTTTCTAAATCGTCTCTTCCGGTGATGTAAAATCAAAAGCAACTATATATTCTATGATAAATATTACTATTTTATATACTCAATTCACTTCTGATTTGATTAATTTTATATTAATCAACTGTATTAATAAAAAAAATCATTCAAAACATCTAAAAATTTCCATTTGATAATCAAAATATTTCATAATTTACTTTAAACATTGAATGTAATGACTATTGACTCAGCATGCAGATAAGTTTTATTGACTGGACTAGTTGACATTAATGAAAAAATAAAGCTAAAGAATACAAAATTTGTTACTCTACAACTGGTGTGCACTGGCACGATAGAAATATTATATATGAGCAAGGATAAAGAAGTATTATCTAGGCTTCTATACACGCAATTACATACCTTGCATCGAAGAATGACGTCTCTGTGGTGGTGGTGGACTCCCACCAGCTTCCACGCTGCTCCCGCTGTGGCTATCCAACTGTGTAGAGTGACCACTGTCACTGCTCGTCACCGAACCTACGCAGACGCCGGCAACATTCTCTATCATAACACTATTCAGCCCATCTAGTGTCCAGTTTCTATTTTTCTAGTCTATTTTTCATTTGTTTTTTAATTTTTTTCTAATCAATATTTCAGAATTAAATGACAAATGTATGTCCCATGGTGACATTCGGATCGTAATCTTTCGGTTTATCTGGCTTAAATGTTATAAACCTGATATACAAGATGCTTATGCAAAGATATACATGTAATGACATGAAACATTTATGAATAAAAATGTTTATATATAAAATAATATTGCGAAACGAGTGTGCAACGTGCAAGTAAAAGAATGTTTTATATACGATCCGAAACGGTGGATAAACGAGCAACGAAAGTGCACCATGGTTCAAGACAAAGTGTAAGCCGTTCCCTAGTTAGTCGTTTTTTCTTAAGCTAATTACTTGTTTAGCCGCGATCAACTGAGCCATGTTAAATTAACACAACTTACCACTAGTTAAGGTTTTTCTTAAAGGTTGAAGATTACTCAGACTAGTGACACTACTGCTCTCAGCACTAAGATCAACCGGAGGTGGAAGACCTGAAGGTGTATCACTGTGTGACCTTTCATGCATTGGCACTCGACTTCCTGAACCAACTCTTCTAGGCGCACCAGGACTTGGTTCTAGTCCACTTGAGTGAAGAGACAATCCTGGTACTGGAAGTGCTGGAGGACAATGTTTTGGCTGGTACGGTCGTGTTTTGTGAGGATCTGACAATGCTAACATCTTTCTAACTGCTTGTGGAGATGCTGCACCGAATTTTGTACCTAAAAAAAATGAAAACAGTTTATAATCTAACTTAAAAAATTACTCATCGATAAAAGGATGACAAGATTTTTAAAGCTCTCAGAATAGTAGGAAACACTATTGAAAAAAAGGATATACCTTGTATACTTTTTCTGCCTTCACTAGTACTACTCGCACTGCTGGTAGTTGATAAAGTGGGAGATGGATGACGTCTACCTCGACTACCACCAAGAGGTACTGCAGCAGCAATTGCTACTGTACCTGCATGTGGCTCACACTCGACAGATAACGCGTGCAAACGCTCTTCATCTGTGATAACTTTCATGTTAGCTAAATAAGCTTTTACTCTTCTCACCATCTGAGCTTCTTCAAACATTTTCTTTGGATTTGGAGCAGCTGCTGATTTCTTCCGTCTCTTAACGGTGGCCGTTTGTCCTCCCTGATTACCTGTAGTCATTTGATTTAATGCTACCATTGCAGAACTTGGTGGTTGTCCACCACGTTCTAACATTGTGAGCAAATCGTACGGTGATGAACACATGTTTGTCAGTGTTCTGACTTCTTTTGCAATCATTCTGAGCTTTTCAAAGTTAACCAAGTTTTCTACTCTTGAGTCGTTTCCGAGATGAATGAATGTTAAATCTTTCTTGACAACTGGATAAAAAGGTATGATTGGTGGTTGAGTTTGCTCTGAAGCAACCAGCTGTCGATATTTGCTCATATTTCTGCTAGGATCCATCAATTCTTGCAAATCACTGAATAGTCTCTGATATTTGCTAGGTAATTTTTCCCAGGAAGCCCTCAATCTTGACACTGCACCATGTCCAAGACCAGAAATGATCGCAAACATTGAATTAAAGTTTTTACACTCTTTACACTGACGGGCAATTTTAATAAACTGCTTGATAATCTTGCTTCGCCTAACAAGATTATGCTCAGAACAAACTTCTGTCACTACCCAAAACATTTCTCTGTTGACTAGTTCCGCAAACTGGCTAAGCATAGGTACACCATACCTACTCTTAAGCTCAAACAAATCATCAACATACTCAGTAGATTCTATTTGTCTAAATATACTAAAGTCCTGAAGGGTTAATTGAATTGCAACCTCCACAGCATTTAATTGGAGAAAATGCACTTGAGACTCACGAACTAATTCAGGAGCTTGTTCATCAGCTACTAGAGTTTCAGACACCCCATTTGTCTTTAAATAATACCTTGAACTGAGTCCTATTCTCTCTGCTAAATTTTGTAATTGATCTGGTAACCTTCGTTGTTTAATCATACCACCTTCAGCAACACTCACTTCAGCTAAAGAGAAGTTCGAACTACTTTCCGTGATCCCGAATTCTTGTAACGCGAGCATTACAACCTCATGTGCAGTCGTTTCTTTGTGTACAAGGAGATATTTGCAAGTCTGATCCGCTTTAAAAACCTTCAGAACATGTTCTGGATAATCAGGTGCCCGTAAATCGTCATAATAAATTGATGTTAAATCTGGATTACTTCGAGAATGATAAAGGTTTGAAGTTTGAGATAATCCTGTTCCAGGAGGTGTATGAGGAGGCGCTAACGAATCATCCGCGTGCATTCCATCATTTATTATGTTCTTTGGCAATATATTCATCTTCATCAAAGCTTTTTGGAATCTTCGTTTAGGTCCAAGTGTCATGAATCCTTTATGCTCCTTTTTAGCATCTTTGCAAGGTGATACATTGTTATCAGGTATTAACAAAGGAACTCCACCCACCATTGGATTTAATTGACCTGCTGGAGTTAATGGGTCTACGTGTGTTGACAATCTGACTCGTGGATCACTTGGTATTCGCGGCACTTCTGGTTTATTTACTCTTCCACGTGGCCGTGGTGAATTGTCTGGCATTTGTAACATCTCTTTGAATGCTAATAAATTCGATTTAACTGTAATACTGAGATGCGTTGATCCACGCAATATTTCTAATGCTCTCGCATGACTGACATGTTCAAATCGTTGGCCATTTACTTCTAAAATTTGATCACCTCTTTTTAATCCTACATCTTCTGCTTTCGAATGTTTATCTACTTTGGAAATAAAAATACCAAATCCTCTCTCATATCCTCCTAATATACTGAAATTTAGCACCTCGTCTCTACAAGGCCTTGCTAGTGTTATTGTTCGCGTCCTCGCTTTCGCTGCACAAGCAATATTTAATAATCTGCAAGGAAAAAATTATGTTTTAATTATAAATTATATAGAACTCTATACTACTTTATTAATTGTATTCTTATCTTATAAGTGAAAAACCTTGTAAGTATTTTTCAAAGAGAAAATAAATAAATATATTTGCTAACCTCTGTTGACCCTGCATTTTTTCTCGCTCAAGGCCAGCCTCGAATGCTTCTAAAAATTCCATCATTGCCGGATCGGTCTCAAAATCCGTGAAATGGTTGTTAACCCATAAAAGTACCACACGAGCAACCCGATCTCTCACTTGTGGTTGTCCAAACCATTCCAAGAGTTGATCCGCGACTAATAATGGATTATCAATGAATGTTCTATGGGTTAATAAAAAGTCCTCAACATATGTTGGATCTGTGATACTGTTTTCTTCAATGAGTTGTAACATGAGTCTTTCTGGTGTCCCCCGAATAACAACATGCCCTCTACGAGTTCCACCATCAAGAGCACCTCGTAGTTCAGTTACTAAAATGACTCTTCCGTTTTCCTCGTGCCTCCGCGTGTTCTCTTCACCTTGATGTTGGATTCTAAAGTAATCGGCCTGCGTGACGCACACAAATTGGCAGTCATTGCACCTGAGAAAGACAAAGAATGATGATTTATTATTGATTCAAGAGAACTAACACACTAAATATTTATATCTTGATCTTGACCGATTGTAATCTCATCCAAACGTGACTTGGATTGCATTAGTATATTATTGTTTACTCACTTAGTTCGCATAACTCCTCTGTGTAGCAATCGCTCCATAGTTGGCAAAATTCCAAAACTATCACCAAGATGCAATTGTTCGATTTCGCCATTACTATGCTCAATCTCAACTGCACCGTTTATCAGTACACTCCAACTATCTAACTCTTCTCCATCAGTTAGAACAACCATCCCAGCACTCTCTACAACTGCAAAGACCATCACAGCGCACAGCGCACGTCTCACGGCCAAGGTCATATTCGTGAATGCTTTTAAATGCTGAGTGAACTCTAAAAGTATCTCAATATCTTCCTCGGTTCTTTCTGCGGGATCTTTCTCCAAGCATTCACGTACTGTATCACGTACAGTTAAGCTCTGAAAAGAATTCCGATTCAATTATCAAGTTGTTAATATAAATCCAACCATTTAAATCATTCCTTTATTAGATTTCTCTTTGACGCAGGAAGAAGTAATAAAGATAAGTGAGAACAACTTACATCCATGCTTTCTGCAAGATCTTCCTCCTCATCGCTGTCGACTATCGACTCAACGAGCCCCGAGAAGTCGACCTCGTCATTGTCTGCATCCAAAGAACCTTGCACTGAAGTCATTGTGTCTGATCCACTGTATGCAGAACTTGTATCGCTGGAATGACTACTTCTGTTTGACTTCTGGTACAATTCTGGCCTACCAGTCAGGCCTTGTGTGAACTAAAAAGAAGAAAAAAAACTATTTTAGCTAAAATTCTCTTAAATTTTTTTTATTTAAATATAAAACTGAAAGCAACTCAACATATTTTTTAATAAAACTGGCCATTTTCATTCAACATCGGCTAAAATAAAATAATATTTTTTTAAATCATATTGATATTTTTTATTTGTCATACAGAAATTTTTTCATGTTAAGAACTACATTAATTATGCTAGCTCTACATTAATATTCAATTATTCGTGATGATAACTAAAAAAGAGTGCTGTCTGTGTACTCTCGATATTCGATGGAGTGGATATAAGATGATAATTGATTTTAATTAAGATTCTTTTAATTAGATAGAACGTTAAAAATGAGCAAGTATCAAAAGCTGTAATAACAACTAGATATATATTTTTTTCGAGCTTCACAAATAAAAGCAAGCTATTTTTTATGATAATATAACAAGAAATTCCTTGGATTTAAATTAATCTTTGTGAAGAGTAAACAGAAATGAAAAATAGGTTTTAATTAAAATTCCCCAGACAACTCGTAGATTTCAAGCAGAAGAAGAAATGCTTCAATTAATTTTGAAAACTGAATAAACAAAACGGTTTGTTTTGGAAGATGGCGATTAATTATTTGAATAAAAATTTTTCAGGCTTTAAAATAAAAACATATTGAATGAAAATTGGGTTTGAAACTTGTTTAAAGTTTTATTGACTCCTTAGACATTGATTAAATGTTATTATCAATCACAACCATATTCATTAAATCATCAAGTACTTAATGAGTGTGCTAAAAGTACGAGACCACAGCTATCATAATTCTCGTAGTTGTTGAATGTTTGGGGTATGAAAATAAACAAAACAGTCATTTTGCACAAGTAAAAGTGAATAAAATTCTATATAAAGCATATATGATAAATTTGAAGCGACCAGACAGGTATTTTTTATGAAAAAAAAAACATGAACAAAAAACAATGGAAAACTTGATCGCTTTGTGAGCCAATTAATCATTAAATCAGACAATAAACATGTACATCAAGTTGATTGACACACACATAAAACAAAAATCAGTGGCCAATCTTCCTCATTAAGTTATATAAAAAATTATACGTAGTAGCAAGCGGAAAATTTATACTTTTCCATGAAACACACAAATAACCCAAGTCATGTTAAAGTGAGAAACAACATGTATCCTTGGTGGCCATCTAAATGATAATTAAAAAGAACATACTGGAAATTGGAGTAAAAATTATGACAAATATGTTTGTACCGACTGAGACGCGCAATGAAATACCAAGAATGGGCGTGATTGGGGACGAGTTGCATTGATGGGTAAGGCTAGGACGCCGCTGGACATGACATCACGCATAGACGCGACTGAGGATCTCTCAGCGATTCATGTTCAAATACACCCACGCATTATTCAGATGATGGAAGCAGGATGATTCTAAACAAAACACGCGTGTTTTGAATCTCTGACCCGAAAGAATGCGGAATTGTTGGAGTAACGTCATGAAAACTACTGAAAGATAATCACAATAACCATAAAAAAGACGACATGATGCATTATTGATAGAACGAAATGAGAAAGATGAAAAAAAACTTTAGATACGGCCATGTAACCCCCCACGTCTGGTTGGCCAGGCATCACTGAGAAAGGAGCGTGCCTGGCCAAGGCCATTTTGAGCACGAGAGCATTTCCTTGCTCTAGCATATAAACTTCCTATATCCAAACTCACTTGATACACTCCAAAGGAATCCATCTTCGATGTCATCCGAAAATGCATTCACGTATATAAAACTCTTAATGTTTTTTTACTTAATTATTTTTCACTTTTCCTTTTTTTGTACATCATAATACATCACGAATTCATTAATATCATAAACCAACGCATCTTGCATACTTTTCGTTTACTATTTCATTACACCAACGTTAACTTCGCGCTCTACTTCACTCGCATACTCTCTGTTTGCAGTTACACTGTTGTATATATTCTCGTGAGCTCGTTCAGCTCTGACTTGACTGCTGTTTTACTGTTGACCATCGAGCTAGCGGTTTACTTCGATAGACTCTGTTGTTAACTTGGGGAAACTTGAAACATCGTTCCCCTCTATGCTTACTAATATTCCTGACCGTGCGCCGCCGCTGATCTACCAGAGTGCAACAGCCAACCATCGAGCGAGTTGACGCGAGTCACGTGACCTAATGAGTGAACAGGAACCCAGGGGCGACGTCATCAGCGGGAGTTTCAACTGGGGCCCACCTGTAGCTTCCATTCATTACTTAATTTTTATCAACTTTAACTTTTTTTTACGTCATTCTAATAAAAATCTATGGAAATCAATTGACCGATTCAATTTCGTTAATAGTTTTTCGATATTTTTCATTCATTTGCACAACTCGAATTTCAATTAAAACTTAATGAATATTAGAGGGTAGTTTTATTTCCCTCAGTGCACATTTTTTATTAATATATTTTACAATTGTGAGTTATAAATATAAACAATTGCATTGAGAATTAAATTTTTACTATAAAATAAATATAGGAAAATTGGTAACAAGTAGTGCTTTCACTAAATACCATTAATAACGATAGCCTTATATTGAATTTATTTTATATCGGAAAATGGGAAATTTATTTTTAGCTCACAACGTTATTCTCAGTAAAAGGGATAGTTATTATTAATTTTCAACTATATCTATTTTCTCAGTCCTAACTAAACATTCGCTAATTATATTTTAGGAAACTTCCACTGATAAATGTTCCTGATAAATAGATTAATTTTCTACTCCAAAATATTACATTTAAAAATTTATTTCCACTTTACCTATCATCTTTAGAGGTACTAATATAAACTTTCACTTATTTAAAAAAAAAATGCGTTTTCACTATTTTTTACAAAATGTAACATAAAACGAGACCTAACTCCAAAGAATGCATCCAAATCCGTCACACTTGTTATTATTATCTAAAAAAGGACGAATAGAAATGGAAAAAAAAAGTTCATTGTTAACATTCCGTGGAGTAAATGTTAAAAAAACATCGAAAATTGATACATCAGGTATTCTGTAGTGGGATCTCTACAAACAAAAATGTGTAGGAGTTCAGTCGAGGGATCCAGACAAATGGATATACAATGTTTAGTTAGAAGGTAGGACATAAGAAAATAAAAATCACGTTGCCCATTTCCGAGTGGATTATACTATGTACTTAGACTATAGAAACTTAAACGAACGTTTGTATTATGTATATTGATGGCAACAGAGATAGTAGAAAGGCCACTGGCCGTCCTGTTTCATGATTTATACCAATACAATCCGTTAATGTCCCCTCCATTGGTTTTCTCTCATATCTGCACTCTCTCACTTTTCCTTCTTTAACTGTGTGCTTTCCAAATCACTTGCCCATTCAGCCGAGATAGTCATCACGTACGAATTGCAAATCCTTATCGAAAACTCTCATCACTCATTTGTAAATTTTCTGAATATTTTGACAAATGGATATAATGAACGAGCCAAAGATATTTATTACACAATAGGTCATTTGTCTACTATTTTCCGGATTTCTCGATTGTCTTTACGACAATTTTACGGTTTACTACAGGATTAGAATTATGTCTTCATTAAAAAGGACACAAAAGTAATAAAACGGATTTTAAAATTGAATTTTATCAATTATTTATGATGACAATAATGATGAAAAATGTCTTTCAGTGAAAAACTAACTAATGTTCTTAAGTTGATGAGAAAAAGAATGGTTTTAAAATGAGTATTATAAAGATTTCTACTTTTCTATGCTTTCTAATGCAAATCTAAACTCTACTCATATTTAAGATTAATTTATTTCTTTGCAATAGAATGATTTTCTTCATGATTATAAAATTTTTAATTAAAAAAAAAAAATGAAGAATTTCACTCCAACAGAATGATAAATGTTGTATTCAATATACTTCTAATCGTAATGTATCCAAGAGAAATTTTCCATATAAATGAAAACTAATAGATTCAAATGTAATAATGATTTAAATATTTTTTAAAACTCCAAAAGAGCATCAGCTGAGTATGTAACGCATGTATGTCTATTTGAATAAACACATTGTATTTTCCGTGGGAGGACGAGGTACATAGAGTGAAATATACATGCATACATATCTCGAAACAAATCAAATGGCACAGAGAACAAGATAGTGAAGAATCAAATAGCCAGTTTTATTGTAAAGCAATTCAATCTGGTGGTTTATCGAAATCGAAGTGGTATCTGTGGATTTTTTTCAGAAAAACAGATAGCGTTTTATTTACCGTATCATCAAACACCAAGTTGACCTGACGATGATCCGAGATGGGATGGGGGTGCGGTGGGCGATGCATCCTTCCACCTCCGTGAACTTCTGGATAGTCGATCTGCAACAAAGTAAAACACGATTACATTCAGGTATAACTATAAAGAGAATTATCATCTCTGTTGAACTTGCTTCTCTTTGATCAGCACAAGAAGAGTAAGCCGATTATTGAGAAAAATATACCTGCAACATCAAGAGAGATGATCCTCAAACTGATCTAGGATTTTATATGTATAAACTTTCTCGGTTGAAAGCTACTGCAAATAACGTTCATTCATTTGAACCTCACTTCCACTCGAGATAAATCCGATTTCTCGCTGTTTTCCACGAGAGAAACAAAAGTAAAGAGAAAAAATGAAATGAGGGAGAGGCAAATGTATGTCGGACCGGAACTCGTAGGCCGGACTTCCGGTAGATACACCGGTTACTCGTCATTCAAATGCGCTACATTTATATTCGTTTATATTAATGTCTCTGCGTATTTTTCAACTCTAGACTTTTCCTTTGTTCCCAGCTGGGAAAATTAAATTTACCCGGTTAAATGGTGGAAATGAATGCTGCTGGTGTGATTACTCGACAATTCACCCTTCACATACCTACCGCGTTTTAATATATGAGCTTGCAGGTCGATTTGAGGTCAAGCGTTGAAACCACACTGGGTTTAATAAATTTCCTGTATGTGTGTAATCGAAAACAGGGTCGCTGATCAATTTTTCCGACCTCTCATTTGCTACGACTGGTTTTGTAACGAAAGGGTAAAGGACCCCAGAGAGCAAAGAACCCTCTCAGCATCAAATTGCTTTGGACCATCAACCCTTTCATTTAGAAATACGGTAATAGAAAGCTCCGGTGCATTTATTTATTGGAAATAAATGAGCAAATATTCTGATAACTATTGTAATGAGAATATTTAAAAATTTGTGTAATATTACTCTGATAATGATCTAATGATTTTGATTATTGATCAACCAGCTAATTAAAGTTACATTCAATATCAATGGTAATTTACATTTACTGAAAAGTTTCCATTTCATTAATTGAAATTGTTTAAAAAATTGATAGAACAAAAAACTTTGGGTAATGTTTTTCATGTTGGAGCCATCATGTAAATAAAGTTGTTCAACTTTTCTACTTGAAAACTTTCAAGACGATGTAACTCAACAATAGCTTTAGGTACATGAAATATTAATGGGATAATTCCGATAAACTGTCTCGACAAGTAAACGTAAATATCAAAAACTCTATGAATAAATTTCTGTCTGTTGGAAATAGGACCAATTGAATTTTTTTTTTTAAGAATAGAAATAACTTTTAAAAAGTTAACAAAACTGTATAATAATTTGAATGACATCAATTGCCTTGGCTTTATCCAGTTTTTAACAAGAAATTATTCATACATCCCTTGAGCTTAGGCCATTGTCGCCACAACGTGCTGTCGAGATCGACAAAAGAATACGCCCGCGGGATCATGTCTATTTCTTGCCAAGCCTCTGGACTGACTTCTTTTAACAATATTTCTTACATTATATGGATAACTCTGCACCAAAAGTGCAAATGTTGTATATACCTTTACTTCTTGTTTATTCAGTGTCACGTAATTTTCTGGTGAAAAAATGGTTGAATAAATTGTTACCATGCAGCAGTATAAGAATTTTTTGATGAATATTTATGACTCTCATTTACTTTAAAATGCCGTAAAAAATTTTTAAATGTTTTGAAAATTAATTCTAATAAAATGACTACATCTTACATAAAAATTTTTAGAAATAAAACGCACCAACAGTATGAAGATGAATATGAAATAAAATAAAATAAATATTGATGATAATGAAGACACAAGAATTAGTTCCATGTTTCAAACACGATGAATAAATCATCGCATAAATTTATGTGATATTGTTTCCAACCAAGAAAACCCAAAGTAATTTTGACAAATGATTTTATTATGAAAGAATGCGTAATGAGTGGCATTCAAATGCAATGCAGAAATTTCCTATGGTATAGAATTTACCTCAGATGAAGCTACGGAGAGAGTGTACGGGGTGCCGGGCCAACTCCTAGAGCCCGAACGACCTCGTTTTTTCCTTAAGACGTTGAACCGAGGACGCACGGTAGGTCGTCCCACGTGCTTCAACATTTTTCTGCACTTTCTATAAATGTCTCTCGTTTAGCGGCTATTCCTCTTTCTTCCTTCAATCGATGAAATTCTCAATCTACTCTCAAGTATCCGTGTCCTCCATCGAGGCGAAAGTATACTCCAATACGTTAACGCTAGTCAATCAACGACTAAACACACTCCGGGATTTGGTAATTCGGTCAAATAAATTTATTATCAACTTTAAACGTACTTTCTTTTTGTCTTTTGCCACATTTCGTACTCGACAAATCACTTGATTCTGATGAACAAAAATTTTATCAACTCTTATTCTATTTAACTTGAAGAATTGTTGTTTTTTAAAAGGTAAAATAGTGGAGATGATATTTGCACAAGAGAAGATGTGATGTAGGAAAGTAATTTTGAGATTAAAAGACACTGGAAATGAATTAAATAGCCTCTGGCAACTTTAGCGAATGGTATTCCATCATGAACTATCTCCGAAAGACTCGACTAAATTTCAGAAGGCACTCGCGCGAAGGGAAGCAAACCGAATGAACAGGGTATCACGTGACATGGACAGAAGCGCACACGTGTTGCAAGAGAGCTGGATTGAAACAAGACTTGGTGAATATACGCAGTCAAGGATGTGTCCCTCAAGTAGACCTCAGGCGTCTCTGAAAGTCTTCATCGCTCTTTTTCATTTAAAAGCATTTGAGAAAAATGCGGCGAGGGACTTTGGTTCATGTTGATGACAACATGCAAGATTTTAAGACACACTTGAGAGCTAAAAATTCCTTTGACTTATCCCTCATCTTTTGCTCTGGAGAAATCCTCTTGGTGTGATGGGACGCGACGAATGCGAATAAATATATAAGCATTCTCGCGAGAGTCGTCGACTATTTATTTTGGGCACCACCCGCGTCGTCTGAGAGCATATTTAGATGTGTTGGTGTTTTAATGTAAAAAATACTAGAGTTGAAAATTGAAAATATTCGATAGCTAACAAAATACAGGAACTGAACTCAATGTGGAATTCCGGTAGTTTGTGTACTCTCTGATTACAAGTGGAGAACTTACACAGTGATCAACAGTATTTCGTCTGTGTAATCGAAAGTCAGTTTCCAATTATTTTTTAACGAGGAAAAATGTCCAGTGTTTTTTGTTGTTATTATCTATTGTTCAATACTTTTCATCAATATGAAAAACAATGAAAATTAAAAAAAGTTACACGATGCTTTCAATTCCACAAATATTGATAAAATAACAAGAAATTAATTATAAATCATTGATTGATAATTATTTATGTAAATGTTATTGAAGATTTTTTATGTTATCAAAAAAACTTATTTTTCTGTTCATTCAATTTCTCTAATTATTGCTTGTTATCAATAGCAGTAATGATAATAGTTACAATACCAATCAGTAGTTAATCATAATTAGTTAAAGAGAAGCAATTACCTAACTATAAGAATTATTTACTTCAAAAGTCAATAAAGTAATTAAAGCTGATTAATAAAAGAAATTAAAATTCTTATTTAAAATTTTCGACAACAGAATACTTTATTTCATTATCTTTATGTCTTTCGAGAACCTAGAGTTTAGATAAAATAATTTGTGAAATATTTGATGAATGTGAGAGTATTACAATAGAAAAAGTCGAATGATCAAGTTGGAAAATGTTAAAATATTCGAATCTTAATTTATTATTCAACATCATACGAATCTGAATCGTCCTTCTAGGAAGTGAATACGTCAGGATTATTTAGAGGGGTTTGTCTGTATCAAAGAATGAATGAGGGTATGGCAGGTAGTTAAACTCACTAGCAGTAGTGCGTTGTTAGTAAAGCTCTAATTTCTTTTCCCTTCTCTATATCACGCCCACCCTCTTGCCTATACTAACACGAAAAGATCGAAGATTATTCCAAGATGCTTAACGATACGTAAAGCACTTTGACATAACGCCACATTTGCTTAAACATTGCGGACACTCAGTAACAAACTAACTGGCAGCACGAACCAAAAACGACTGATACTCTTTCTCTCTTTCCCTCCTCTCCTCCCTCCTCCCGTTCTCATATATGTGTATATAAGAGATAATGCACGTCACTATCTTCTTCACGGATGTGCCCGAACGTTTCTTTTTCTCGTCTTCCTGCAGACGCATTTGGTTTTCATGTGTGCTCAAGTATACATAAGATAAAGAGCCACGTACTACATTTCAAACAACAACACACATCTACAATCAGTCATGAAATATATATTACGGTACATATTTATTAATATAAAATTAGATATAGACCGACTACATGACGACGATTACACCGCGTGTGGCCTCAAGGCATGAATGGAAAGTCGAACCGGCGACGCGTTGAGATCATATAATATGCAACCGACTCAACTGTGCGCAAACTTCACTCGCATTCAGAGAGCTACGCAGCACATTTTACTAATGTATCGAGTGCGCTCTCACCCACGGAAATCTGCCCACGCTTGTCACAAAACCGATAGACACTTTCGTACATTATATGATTATATACTGCACTAAATGTCTTCCATTGATAAAACGTGAGACCATATTCTCCTCCTCTCACTCTTCCCGGCTCCTGAACGCCATTAAGAAAATAGGTTCAGGGAACTGGTTCGAGGGTTATTTTATTTACTTGGCTGATGAATTATTATCTCAATGAATCATGCTCTAGTGTGTATAAAATCTACAACTATTTCAGAGATATATATTTCAATTATGGAGAACTTTTTTCCTTCCTTTTGGAGTAAAACGTAACGTGATTATTTTTACTACCATTTATTTGTAAACTCTTGGATGAGATTACTGGCAAGTTATGAAATGAATTTAATTAATGCTATAATTGTTTTTTATATTGATTAAAATCAATATAAAACTTGATTAAAGAAATTGTACTTGAAATCTAATCAATAATTTTTCAGCTTTATTAATTTTATTT